AACCATCGGTTGCCTCTGTTGAGGACAACCATCGGCACAACCATCGGTTGCCTCTGTTGAGGACAACCATCGGTTGCCTCTGTTGAGGACAACCATCGGTATAACCATCGGTTGCCTCTGTTGAGGACAATCATCGGTTGCCTCTGTTGAGGACAACCATCGGTACAACCATCGGTTGCCTCTGTTGAGGACAACCATCGGTACAACCATCGGTTGCCTCCGTTGAGGACAACCATCGGTTGCCTCTGTTGAGGACAACCATCGGTACAACCATCGGTTGCCTCTGTTGAGGACAACTATCGGTACAACCATCGGTTGCCTCCGTTGAGGACAACCATCGGTATAACCGTCGGTTGCCTCTGTTGAGGACAACCATCGGCACAACCGTCGGTTGCCTCTGTTGAGGACAACCATCGGCACAACCGTCGGTTGCCTCTGTTGAGGACAACCATCGGCACAACCGTCGGTTGCCTCTGTTGAGGACAACCATCGGTACAAGTTGCCTCTCTTGAGGACAACCATCGGTATAACCATCGGTTGCCTCTGTTGAGGACAACCATCGGTTGCCTCCGTTGAACAACCATCAGTACAACCATCGGTTGCCTCTCTTGAGGACAACCATCGGTACAATCATCGGTTGCCTCTGTTGAAAACAACCACAATTAAAGAGCCAAAGTTGTTTTCTCTTCTTGAGGAATATAACTTCGTTTTTTTACCGAAGTGTATGTGAGGCCGGGCGGAGGCGGGTAAGCCAGCTATAAATAATGTGTTGCTAATGTGTGAGAAAGACCAACAATTTGATGAAATATACAGTGGGGGCTCTGCGTGGGGACCTCCAAATCGATGAGGCCCATTTGAGCCGAAGTTGTACTCCTCTTTTTGAGGAATACAACTTCGGCTTTTTTTACCGAAGTGTATGTGGCGCCGGGCGGAGCCGGGTAAGCCAGCTAGTTCCTTATTATTTTCATTGTCTTTTAATTTTTTGAATGTTCATTTCTGCCTCATGTCTTCTGTGGCTCTCCTAATTATTCCCATGTTGTATTTGTTGTTATGACACCGAGATTTCCTATATGTGAATTTATTGTCTTATCTCATTTAGATCTGTCACGATATTTTTCTCGCTGCAAAACGAGTGCTTCTTCTGTTATCTTTCAAATTCTCATTCATTACCAGAATTTGTGTCTGCTACTTTACTAGTACAAACAAATAGCATTATGTCTAGCAGTGTTCGTTTTTTTCGATAAAAAGTAATTTAGAGTGGGGATTCGGTGTCTAGGGGTAGTTTGGGTGGGGTTAACGGGCTAAAATAGGACTTTGTAACTTAACTACCGGAGACAAGGAAGAATCCGGTGAAGCGACCGCTGGGGAGATCTCGGCAGTTTCCCATTTTGCCCACCGAAGTATTCGGTCGGTTGTCTGAGTAAGGTTGGGGAGGGGGGGGGAGGGGGGCTAGGAGGTAGTATGACACGCATAGAAGAAGCCTGTAGAGAGCAGGCAAGCATTCTTCGTCATATTTTCAAAATAAAACCATGTGAGCATCAGGAGAATCTGAGCTATGGCTGGAGCAACATGTAGCATATCCAAGTCCGAATTAGCTAGGAGTACATGGGTTTTTCTTAAGAGATTAGTATCAGGTGATTAACTTATTTTCATTCGCTTTCTACAGAAAACTATGCTTGCTTAAAATTGCTATACTTCTACTAGGGAAAGGTACCCGAAGTCCAAAAGTTTTAACTTCCAAACGCATCCCATTTCACACACAGCCAGTCCAAAGTGCCCCTTCGCGGTGCTTTGGACTGGTACGAAATAAACGTCAACCATTTAGTGCAAAACTGAGTACCGGGAGTGGTGAAAATCTATTAGGGAAGCTTCTAATCACAAAAAGCAACCTAAAACTGTTCTTAGATACATTAAACGAGTGAGAAACTTTGACGATTTGGCCAATTTTATGTCCATTAAACCAATAAATTTTTGCAGACTACCCCTCTACAAGCAAAACATCCCATAGCTATGGTCACATGAGTCATACACTTTTATTCCCTTGCAAGTTCTCATCACTGCCCTAGAGATTCCATCCTGTGCAAAACCTACAATCTCCCGCCCAATATGCTCTCTCTGCAAGCGCGAGAATTCAAAAATGTGCCCGAAAATAAATAATAGGCTTGTTAACAGCGAATACAGAACGATATGGCTCTAAAATTGGTGCGTAGATGCGCAGTAGGGAGTTTGAACTACGTATGAAAAATATGCAAAAGTTATGTGAACTGAGGGCGTGGCTAACATTTTTCGGAGTTAGGTGGCTCTCGAGCCACCTCTCACAGCACATAAAGCCATTAATTTCTTTCCCTCCACGTAATTTCTTCACAAATTTTACATAGTTTCAGTGTGCATCGAAAATCTATAAACGAGCAATCAAACCTATCCAAATCCTCTCCTCCTCGCCTAATCACAGCCCTCCAAAAATTTTGTATGGCGGCGGCAATGCTCCAAGTGCGCCGTGATGCGCGCCGGATACAGCATGCCCAGGGTCCGGCACGAGGCACATGACAAGCTGGAAATCGTTTTTGGTGGAAAAAGCAAGGGGATATCGTTTTTGCAGGTCCGCGGCGGAGCCCGGAAAAGATGCCAAGTGCAAGCAAAAGAAAGTCGAATCATGCTTATTAACTTATGCATCTAATTCATTGGGAAGTAGCCTTGATAAGCCTCAACGCACAGCAGATTTGGCGCGCGCTACGCCGCGCCACCGCTAAATGCCGCGTGCGCGAAGCGATGCCGTTAAACAGCATGATTACATGATCAGTTCTCAATGCAGGCGTAACGAGCACCAAATTACGTAAGCGAACGAAGAAAGAGAGGCTAGTAGAAACAAAGTATGAAATATTATGAGAATCTTATGTGAATGAGAGGTGTAATAGGCATTTTTTCCAAAAAATTTGCAAAAGTGGTAAACGAAGATGTGAATTCAAATGCTCGTTTGCAGCGCACAGATGACCATACGATATGAAACTGGTAGATGAACACGGGCCTGCGGGGCTTAACTGAGAAGTTTCATTGAAAAATTATGTGACTGAAGGTTGTGGCAAGCTTTTTTCTGAAAATTTCCCACTATCAAGAAAATGGAAAAATGGCTCGTTTGCAGCGCAGAGAAAACGAAATCGCGCGACTTGGTGTGTGTATATACGCGCAGTAGCACTAAGAAACAATGTATGAAAAATTATGAAGAACTTGTATGAATGAAGAGCGTGCCCAACTATTTTCCATATTAGGTGGGCAATCGCCCACCTAATGCCCACCTGAGGTAGGCAAAACTTTCAATTCACATAAGTTTTTCAAAATTTTCATATAAATATCTTTTACATCTAAAGTTCACTATATGGTAGGGTTTTGGTTCCAAAACTCCTCCTCTTATCTATGTTAGAGCCCAAAATCGCATAAGTAGCCCAGCTTCCTAAGGAGGAAAGCGCGCTCCAGTCAATCGATATGCGGAAACGGCATCTCTCAGTAATATAACTGCGTTACTTTGTATTTCTTCATGCCTTCATCATTTTTCTTGCTTATTCTTCTTCCTTTCTATCTTGATGAAGGCGAGGAATAATTAGAAGAATTTGAGCATTTTTGGACGCTTTCAAGCGCTTTTAGGCGAAATGTGGCCGGTGCTCTCGTTGCACAAGCACAAAGCATTGTTTTTGGGCTCAAGGGGGTATTCGTAAAAATTTTTGGGATCAAAGAGGAATTGAATTCGTTTTGGAAAACCCCATTTGCCCACCTCGTGCAGGGCCCTGAGCATGCCGCCAATTCGGAGAAAACGAAGGTCGCTAGTTTTCTTTATCTTCTGTTCAATGCAGTTTCTGTACTTTCGCTATTCTTTTTCCTTAATCACGTTTTTTTTTCTATTCATGAGGTGTCAAAGGGAATGATTTTTGTTGCAAAGCCTACAGACTTCGTTTCGAAAAAATTGAAAAGCGTGCCAAGCCCTTGGGAGCATCCTAATTTGCGCGCAACCAAACAAAGTCGTAATTTTCTCCCTTCTTCACATAATTTCAAATTCACACGAATTTAATCTTCAGTTGAAGCCCTACCGTTGAGCACTTACAGGGCTCCTAAATTGCAGAGTCGTTTGCACCAGCGGTCGCGCGACCGCGTCGCGCCCGGGCATCAATGGCGCCGCCTCGATCGATGGCGCCGGCGCCGGCAAAATGCCCGGGCGCGACGCGTCGCGCGACCGCTGGTGCAAACGACTCTGCAATTTAGGAGCCCTGTACCTTAGCACAAGCTTCGTCTCCTTTGCTTTGCTACGGCCCTCGATGATATAAAAACCCCCTTTCCCGATTTCCGCTGTCTTTTCTTAACTTCCATTTACTCATCGTTTGTGACGGGTTATTAGCTACTTCTACAAACAGCACAAAAGTTAATTTGTAATCTTCTGCAATGTCATCGGGGACTTTTTCCAAAATTCTCAAATGCCACCTCTTGCTGGACCCTGGTGCGGCTTATACACCTGAAAACTGCGTATGCATCCTTTTGGTGTAAATCACTCTACTGTGTGCAGGGTTTTCGGTACCTTATCCCATAGATAATTTAGTGTTCTGCTGTGCGTTTCTTTCAGAAACTGATTTTTCAATAGGCAATAAAATACAACGAATCGTTTTTACTCAAAGACATCTGAAAATTTCACGCAGAGCGGATGCGAAAGCGTATAGTAAGTTTCGACTCAATTTAAACGAAAGTTGGACTGGCGGGAAACCGCTCGCAACGATTCCCGCCACTTTGCAGTCTGCGTCTCTTCATTCTAATCTATCTCGCTGGACCAGTGGCGGTGCGAACGCCTTGCTCCACTTGAGATGTTTCGCCTAGTCCGGATTGAAAAAGACTGTAAGTAACCGGCAAGACCGTTCCACAACGCTGTCCAGAAGACTGTCGGAGTAACGAGCAAAACTAGCAAGAAAAACCCACTTATGCAACATTTATGCTCTGTGTACCTTACATAAACATACCACTTTGCGCATGTTACCCCTTGAATCTTGGAGGCCTTAGATGTTGTTAACAGTGAGGTGCACATTAGCCAACATGTACATAGAAGACCCGTACGGCGAATTTACAAACAACATATACTCTAGAACATAACTGCGCAAAAAATACAGTAACACAGATTTTGGTAAGCCTGTTTGGTAGAATAAGCGGGTTTTCGGAGAGTGAAAACAACCGGCTTCATTTAAGTGTCATTATCTCGCCAAACCATTCCGAAACATCAGTGTCAGCATTTTCATTCCTCACAATGAATGGATGCTTCTGCAAGAGTCTTGATAATCACTATAATCCAAGTCGTAAGTGACTAACCAGTATTTCGGTATATACCGGTCGTTCCTCCACATTCCTCCTCAGACACAAATCGACTAGCTCACAAAATTCTGGTGTGTAGCCATCCTGAATGATGTCTTAGTTAGTCAAATTTCACCTCCAATAAAAATTTCACCTCCAATACGCTTGCGATCATGGCGACATAATAGTGATCGGTACCCCTTGACAGTATTACATTATCGCCCATAAAAATGCTTTTCATCCCAGAAAAAAATTGAAAACTCTACAAGCTGTGTTCTCTTGATGTTTCTTTGAAATCCGGGAGCACAACAAGTTCGATGGCTTGGACAAACACGATCTATCCCGAAACCAATGATGTCAACTGACGACGATGTTTGAAAATTGATTCTACATCTAGAAAAGTTTCAAACTAGCGCCTTCATACAGCAGTTGAAGTGCCAATTCAACCTAGATTTTACAGTCTGGAGCATGCTCAGAACCAATTTTTGTCACAGCAAAGACTTTGAAAGCAGCAAACTTTTGATGCAAGTCAATCAGAGTGGCTGCCCTGAACAGACAATCTGCACTTAGTATTCTGTTTCAATAATCACGCCGAATCAATGACAGCTGTTTTTTTGTCTTCAAAAATTCAATTGCCACCCAAACATCTCAATATCATACAGGGTTCATTTCTGTAATCAAGATGATTGAGAACCTCATGACAAAATTCAGGTGGTAGTGATTATCTGGAGTAACAGTTACACGATAACACTAATATGCTAGAAGTCCCATAGTACTTTTACAGTAATGAGGCACCACTAAAAACCTGATTAAAGCTAGATTCCGTGTGTGCCCTCCGCGAAACGAGAGATAGGAGAGGTACCAGAATCAAAGGTCGCCACATTTTTGAAAGGAATATTGTTCTTCCTTCCTTCCTTGACAGAAAAAAGTTTATTTTTGCCCCGCTTCAAAATCTAATTTGTTTTTATATCATCTGATGGGTGAAAATCACCATCACTCCAATACTAAATCACTAGCTACTTCGAGACTTCAACAGAGCATCTATCCAAATTTTACGCAAGAGTTAGCTTTGGAAACACTCAAGGAACAAAAGATTTCAGCAAGTAAGGATAAACAAACCGATGGTCTTAATGAAGGGCTTGGATACTCTAGGATGGACGAGATTATCTGGAAGTCTGTCCCCTTGTATGGAAAGTGCCCAGTTGCAAGCTCAACCAGCGTTATTCCAAGCGACCAAACATCACTGCGTATATCATATGGAGTATCTTCCTGCGTATGATCGAGCAGTCCTTGAACAGTAATGAAAAATAAAGTCAAGACGTACAGTTACCCGCACTCTTTCCGGAGCCATGTACGGAGGACACCCAGCTCCCTTGGACTTCGCTCTGCTTTCTATCAGAAAACCACTAATACCGAAGTCGCAAAGCTTCACAATTTATTCCAATCCAGAAGTATGTTAGACGGCTTCACATCACGATGAATCACATTCTGCAATCAGTCATTTGTTCGGAAAAAAAAGGTAAACTAATGGCGGTTCAAATACAGTGGCAGACATTACGAGCTTCAGTAGCATTTGACAAGAAGTTACCTCCTTGGGCTTACTGCAAACGAGTTTTACCAAGGTCTCGGACTTGGAAAAACCCTATTCTATGATAGCGCTATCAAACACAAGCATTAGCATTTCCATTAGTCCAATTTTGGCAGTGCCCGGACAAAACAGGGGTTTAGGGATTTCAGTGCCATGCGAAAGTGGGGCCCTCGGAAATACCACCGCGCAAGTGCGAGGCCATAACGATTGACCACAAGCAAGAAATACGGTCAGAAAGCTGGAAAACTAACGCCCTGGGCGAAGCTCTCCACCTGTTTGGATTCCTGCTATGTGACAAATATGCCACCACAGGTGAATTCGTAGGATCCCGCAGCAACTCTGCGTCTCAGCCTTGGCGGAACCTTCTTATTTCATATTGTAAGCCTCTGAAAATCGTGTTCTCGCCGTTTTCGCGCTTTCCAATGTAGATTTTTAGCGCTAAGGGATTTTCTAGAAATCGAATTCTTGCCCGAACATTGCCTTCAAGTGAACCAACAAGAATGCTGTCGCTAGTATAGTTAAAACCGAATATTATTCGAGTATTCGTATTTTAATCATTTATTCAAACTAGAATAGCCGAGTTTCAGGAAAATGCATTTCGGTTATTAGAATAGTCGAATAAATGAAAAACTTTATTCGAATATTTGTTTATTCGACAAATCGAAAAGACCACTTATTCGAATGTTCGACATTTGACATTCGGATAATCAAATAAGTTATTTTTTCGATTCGTCGAATAAACAAATATTCGAGTAAATGTCTTTCCACTTATTCGACTATTTGAATAATCAAACAAATGCACTTTCCTGAATTGTCAACTATCCTAGTTCGAATAGATCATTCGACTACGAATATTTGATTGATACTCGATTCCGGTTCATTTGGGACAAACGATATGCAGCAAGTAATTGCTTCGAAAGGTAATCATTAGAGTTTACATGAAAATTAGAGCTGGTAAAAAGAAGAGAATCTGCAAAATATTGTGGAACTTTATAGATATCAATGCAGCAAGAAAGGACATGTTTGTAGAAAAAAAGTAACTTTTAGCATTTGAAAGGTACTCTTGTGAAGTGTCCCGTGATGTAGGCACTACAGATGCACATGGGCCCAGATGAATTTTCTTGCACATGATCCTTATTAACAAAAAGCAATAAAGAACTTTAGGAAAGACAAGCAGAGATGAACAGAATTAAATGGCTCAATCAGATCATCCTTAGTGCCCCAAGAAAGGAAACCAGCTGAAATCATTAGGGTTGGTATCTGTGACGGGCAAAAGATGTAAATACTGGTGACTGGAATTCGCTGCAACGCATGATGAGCGACTATAGGGTCGTGTAATAAGTTTATGCGTTTTTCTAACACATTTCAGGCAATCTGTTCGGGTCCATAGGGTATAAATACGTTTGAAATCTCGGTCAAGCACTTCGTGACGCATTTGTAATATTGGCTTTAGTATACCACAATTCTAGGTAGCATCACCAGTTCTTCAACTCAAAATTCTGGAAAGTGAAAATTCCCCTATTCAGAACCTCCCTTGGTTCCTCTAGTCAAACAATCAACAATCAAAAGCAGAGATGGTCGATTTCTACTACTCAGTGCTTCTCAGTGGCTGCGTTTCCACCGATTGGTTCGAGTCATTTGAGCCAAAGCTGCTCAGGCGGATCGAGGGTCCTATTCAGGTATCTAACTTCTCATCGTTGGAGAGCTTGAATCTCTTGCTTGACTGTGGATGGAGATAAAGATTTTGTTTCGTTTGAGGAGATCAGAAAATTTATACTCATCATAAGTGCTGAGTCTTTTTACTCCAGCCATAAATAAAATAAGTGTAAAAATCTTCAAAAGCTTCTAAATGATCATTCGATATGCTAAGATATATTCTCGCAGTGCTCCTTTTTGAGAAAAAACCTGTAGCTCATAAAAATAAAAATAATCTCACATTTGTCTGATGATTGATGCACGCGTAGAAGTGTACAAACCCACATGATTAGTCTTGAGATAATGTAGCGCTTTCACCACGCTGACAGACATTTTTCCAACTATCGGCTCAGGAATCGGAGCACTATTTGTTCGCTCCAAAAGCAGATCCAAACAAGTGGCCATTGCCTCCATACATATCATAACTTCATTCTGTAAGGAATACGATGGAGCAATATTATAGCAAGCACAAGATATTACCTCGGTGATGATGTAACCAAGGAGTGGACTATATGAGGACAATCATAAGTTCTTGACAAGATTCGAAGTTCCATCATTATCCTTTTACTCACGACAGGATTAGTACTTCTCGGCATGGACCGCAAAGTTAGTATCTCATGACTGAGCCAACAAATCGCCACACCCCTCACAATGAAAAAAAAATAATTGTTCTTGATATTGGAAACAAATGAAATTTGAGACTCACCTGCACATTATAGGGAATGCTTTTATCAAAATGAAGAGATTGAAATTCATCTTAATTTCAAAAGCAATTCTACAACCAAAGAGTATTCGCAAGGAATTAGTGTATGAATAATCATACGACACAGAGTGGTTGGAGGGAAAATACGGAGCACGAGCTATTGGATGAACTGCTTTAGTTAGGTACGCAGCTTGAGTTTACTGGAGCAAGTGTGGCGATGAGGTTGAAACATTTGCAAACTATGAGTAAGTATTATACTATGATTCACAATATATTAGCATAAAAAGAAATAACAAAGATTTGTAAAAAGGCATTGTCTATCGGGAGCAGATCTTTGCAACACAACTGCTGCACAAAAAGACAATGAGCGCTTTTTTCTGCACAGGCTGAATTTCGAAATATTTATTCTACACGAGAGAAAAATCTAATGGAGAAGACGCATGAACTTTGGATGCAAGAAATCTTCGTCAAAATCTGTTCACCTTTCTCTAGGCAAGTGAAGAATGTTGCGCCACGAATTTGTAAGAAATTTGCAGACTGTTAGCTATTGATAGAAACGACTAACAAAGCGGGTTGCGTTAGTTTAGCAATTTTTACCATTTCTGATTGATCATACAATCAAAACCATAACGATTCTGAAGAAGGTGAATTATAGCCGAAACGTTAGCCTAAATAAAAACTTACCAATCTCGGTCGTGGCTAAACAATCGAATTAACGCATAATGATTCTTATTATAATGGCAAAG